GATTCTACTGTACCATGTATAATCTATGTACCACGCTTCGCTTTCATCACTAGCTATAGCCTAATGCTGATGGATAAAAGAAAAATACCAGTCAGAATTTTTTCAGTTTGTTTTTGTAACCCTCTGATGATTTATTTCTGGGTATGGAAAGGAAAGTGATATTCAGTAAGCTTTATTTACATTAAAGTGTTTTGGTTTCATGTATTCTTTTAGCTCTAAAAGAAAAGAATTGCCAAGTTTATTATTGTCATTTTAATTTATGACAAAATCCCATTTTAATGTTTTTACATTTGTTTTCAGTAGTCCCAACTAGTGCTTTATAAGAACAATTAAATTCAGGTTTCTCAATTTTACTGTACATCTAACTTGAATTTTAAGGAGTCAGACACCAAAGGTCATTTTGATTTGATGTTTATAAGATAGGATACAGTAAATGATTTTTGGGTCCCAAAGTTTCTAGTGTTTGCTTACTCTAGGAAGCAAAACTTAGAAGTTTTGTAGCTATTTCATGGGAGCAGATGCTTGCTTACTCTTTTAAGATCTAATATGCAGAACTATTCTTTTTTTATAATTTCAACTTGATTGATATTTAAGATTTCAAATGACGGTTTTCTGTAGGAAATTTTCACATTAAAAAATAAGTAAATAAAATTGAGGCACAGTAGAACTCCATTATCAGAGGTAACGTTGCCCGATGCTGCCTTGGATAACCAAAAACTCTGATATTTGGATTAAAAATTACAAATATCAAAGATTTATACGATATCACATTTAATTTTAAGTCTTTTTTTTTAATACCTTATTGAATTTAATCATATATAACATGGGTGGGCAAGCAAGAGTTCAGTGGGAGCCGAAATGTAGGTTTTGCAAAATGCATGGGAGCCACAGTTCTGTACCACGATTTTATTATATAATATAAATAAAATATAAAACAAATGTTGAATTTTTTTAATAAACATATTTTCACAAAATTGTGGAAATAAAATTGTAAAAATANAGTTCAGTGGGAGCCGAAATGTAGGTTTTGCAAAATGCATGGGAGCCACAGTTCTGTACCACGATTTTATTATATAATATAAATAAAATATAAAACAAATGTTGAATTTTTTTAATAAACATATTTTCACAAAATTGTGGAAATAAAATTGTAAAAATAATAATAAAAAAGCAGAAATTAACACTTTCAGCAAGAGTGGCATGTAACTCAAAAATAGCCGCATTTGTCCATGTCTGATATATAAGAATATTTTTTACATAATTTATTATACAGCTAATATGTACTGTACCGTATAGTACAATAGTTTTAAGAATAAAAATATGTATTAATTAACTCGCTCCCTATTTTTGGTAGTAACAAATATTTAAAAGTACACAGATTTTGGAGGAAAACGTCAGAAAAAAGAAGTTGGCCGAATTATTTTATTTGATCGGTGGATTTTCAACGTATTTTGTCAAATTTTTTGACAGATTCTACGAAAAATATTTGTTCTAAATTGCTACGTTATGATCATTTTTGATTTTTCATTGTCGAAAACCAGTTTACATTCTGTCTAGATTTAACTACACTCTAATACTGTACTGTTGATAAAGAAAAATATAATTTTGACATTTAGATAACTTTATATAAATCTACAAAAGCAATAAAATTGTTTTATTGGTCTAAGTATTTTTAACCGACCTTCTGTCATCGAAGACTAGAAGAAACAAGTAAAACAGCAAAACTGTATTTGGGACAAGACTATCTCGGAGACAGAATCACTTTGATGCTCAAGGCAGGTCTCATTCTCATTCTCCTATCTTCTTTGATATTGCTGCTTTTGGGCGTGATCATTCAAACTTCACCGGCCACGACCACGAGATCGTCCAGTTTTAAATTTCTTTTATATGCAGATCTCAACAATGTTAAAAAATTAAATTCTAGTATTTAATCAATTTTCAATTGAATATCACAAAGGGAAGAGTTTTGTATTAGGTTTCCTAAGATATCGTATCAATTTTCCATTAAATTAGGAGAGAGTTTACTGATATGTAATTAACAATGTTAAAACTCCAGTATCAATGTTTGGCAGAGCTGTGGCTACAAGGAAGCTGCAAGATGGTTGTTTATTCGGCTTAGTTGGCAGTGCCTGCATACAGTAGAATCTTGTTTTAATGGATCACTCAGGCACAAAAAATCTATTATATTGTGAACAACGGATTTCTCACACTCCTGGGAAAATATCTGTTGTTCGAAAAAAATTTTCATTTTAGATCCCCTACGTAAAGAACATCTGTACTTGAAAGTATTCAGTCCTGTTGAGATTTCTATTTTTTATTTTATGTAAACATGTATATTACAAGATAGTACAGTATGCCATAACAAAGCTGACATAAACTGTATATGTAATAAGCCAAAAAAGTGAAAAAGTATGTATGATCATNTGCGTATTGGTTCGATTATAGAACGATTGTAAACGTTTCAGAAAATTGATCAAATTGAAAATAGTTCGTTTGATTTTCGGCAATTCTCTTCAGCGGTAGGTGTTATATAACAATTACTATGGTTATTGAAATATTGGATGTAAATGGGGTTTGCTTGCAAAACCTCCGCTGACGAAGTCGCGGGTAACAGCTAGTATATATATAAAATGCAACATACAAGTTATTCTATAAATTGGTCTTTTCTGGCATTTCCTTTAAACATTCAGGCACGGTTTGTTGTATTTACTAAATACAAGCACACATTTTCTGAAAGAAAACATTCTTATCTGTAATGCTATCTTAAGATATATTTACTATTGATAGTTTGTCATTTGAAACCGGTTGTGTTTTTAATTCTTATCTTTTATCTTATTTGTATATTGGGATCCTTCATAGTTTTATTAATTAGTGTAAAGTAGAGTAATGCTAACAAAAATAAGTTTATGCAAAATATATTTTTTATACAAAATAATGGTGACTAATTGGTGCAAAATTGTTCAAAGAGTTTGAAACCTACTGTAACTTTAAAACTTAAAGTGGTTTGCAATTTTAAAAATATTGTATTGATTAAGCAAGATTATAAATATGAGAGAATTCATAATAATGTAATGTTGATAATTTATTTATTTCTATTTTTGGAGCTGCTTGCAGTTATTAATGTTTTTGCTTGTGTTCAATGGCATCATCGGGCAAACTAACAACAGAAAATTGCCATATAGGCATGGGCTTTAGTTCAAGTATATCCAGTTGAGTGGTGGTATTCAATATTTTAAATATAATGTTAATGAAAACAAACTTCTTTGGGTTACTATTCAAATGCAGAACGGAACAATTAATTTTAAAAAATAGAATGGTACATAAACCAAAACTTCTGGCAGGTGAAAATGCGCGTGCCCAGCATGGAAGTAACCAAAAGGGAAATAATAAGTTATTTATAATGTGTAATGATTAATAAAAGGTAAACAATATACATATATAAACAATGTATAATGATTAATAAAAAAAATAAACATACAATATATCTTTTAATTAGGTTTCTGTTACTGGTTTTGTAGACTTTAAAGAATTAAAAGCTATTGGCTTTCTTCAGTAACATAACACATAACAAGCAGTTGTCGATATAGTTTTATTGAAGGAGATGCATTTTGGGTGTAAGATCATGATGTGAAGAAAATAAACAGTCTAAGGACTGAAGAGGGGTCATTAAATCCCGAAATGCATCTCCTTCAATAAAACTATATTAACAACTGCTCCTTGTGTGATGTGTTACTGAAGAAAACCGATAGTTTTTAATTCTTTAAAGTATACAATATATCCATTTAAAAACAGAATAAAACAATTTTCATAAAAAATTGAGTTTTTTACCAGCTCTTGGCATGATACTAAATGATAAGTAAAAAATGATAAAACAGTACATTTATTTTTCATTTTAATAATTTTGATTGTGTAACAAATAAAATTAATTTCTGATTAAATTTTTTCTAGTTAACAATTATAATATTTATTAAAGGACTATTTAATAAATTTCCACTTTTGTAGCAGATTACACTATCATCAGTATTTGTTATTAAGTACCAATGTTCTATTGTTTTCTTTTTTAATCAAACTTTTTTTGATCCTCGCTTTCAAATGAGTCGCAGTTGCTTGTCCCATCAAAATGTGTCAAAATCTCGTTTCAAAATGTGAATTTTAACCCCCAAAATCTTACGGGTTTAGCTTGTAACTGGAAAACACCTTATTAAAAATTTATCAATTCTGAAAAGTTAAATTTGAATCAAAAATGTTTAATTCCTAAAAGATATTCTGCCCCAGTCTGCCATTGAAGTCTGGCAGTTTGGCATCTGTTTCCCTTGCCGAAGGAAGTATCAAGGAAACTGAATAAATGACATACATGAGAATATTAAAAAACTTAAAAATACAGTATTGACAAAATGAGCTATTATATGAGACATGTTTGGCCCTTCCACATTGTATGTCTGATTGGACATCAGTTTAGTTACCAACTGTTGATGCCAATCCAATAATTGGTCAGTCACTAATATGCATAACATACATTCGTATAAGTCAAAGTAGATTTTATCATAAAAGGAAACCATATTAGATTTTATCTAAAGCCATTTGGAGAATTCAAAGGCTTTAGTAAAATGAATTCTCCATATTCATTTATTCATAGAAAATTTTAAAACAGTCAGAAATCTTAAATCATCTATTACGGAGTTCCTAACTGTACATTTTTATATTATGTATAATTACGAGAAGAAAACACTTTTGTTCTAGTTGTTTCTTGGCCCTATTTTTTTTATATGTAATTATTAATCCAAATGTCTGTGAACAATGATTAGTTTGGATTATTGAGAGAGTGATGCATAATAATTGAATCGAAGAAAGTCATCTTTTTCTTCGTAACCAATTGCAGCCTATTTCCAAACTTTATTACTTAAAATTTTTTATGAATAGACAACTTATTTGCTGTTGTCAATTTATAGCATGTAATTATGCCACGTCATATGTTAAAAATTGTAATTGATTAATTGCAGAAAACAAACGCAAATCGGACGAACAGTTGGAAAACAGTACGGCGAAAACAAAACGCATGGAGAGCCGTCAGAAGTGTTCCGACCTGATAGTGCTGGGATTGCCGTGGAAGACTACGGAACAGGAATTACGTCAGTATTTTGAAACGTATGGAGAAGTATTAATGGCACAGGTAAGATTTTATTTGCCCCGTGTCAATTGCATTCTGCTTTATGCATTTGTGTGTTACCGACGTTGCTTGCTCGTGAAAAGCCATCTGTGGAGGTGCTTTTTAAATCCTAAAATGATGGTTTAAAATATTGCCTATCGGAGGCATAACATCAAAATGCCACAACTTTTTTAGAACTATTTTAATGTATACACTATTTCAGACTGGAAATTGTTTTCTAAGTAACTTTTTAGTGTCATGAATTTTCTATAATAAGTAGAAAAATGTAAAATTTTTTAGAAATAATCTATTTGTAATATAAAACTAAACAATGAAATATATGAAAATTTGGAAAATTAGTTTTTTCTAGCAGGAGATCGATTAGTTAGCTGGTCGAATGTCGGCTGCTTTTTGTGTTCTGTTCGTCAATATACCGTATAAATGATTTTGTAAAGTTCTTCCGACAATGGGCTTGGTTTTTCCAAGATTAGTTATTAGAGATATAGTAATTAATTTAAATTTCTGTGTTCCAGTAAAGCAGAATTTTGGTTTTATAAAACTAAACTATTAAAATTTGAATCTTTTGCTACCCTTTTAAAATATTTATGTATCGTATACAATTTTAAAATGATGTTGCTGGATGGTAGTTAAGTTTGAATTTGAAGAAAAATCTGTCGGAAAAGCAGTTTCCATTCATTCACTTTTGCTGTACTGGAATATGGCTTAGACAATCGACCTTTGGCAACAAACAATTTTTTAAAATTTCCTTTTAAAACAGTGTAAATATATCTGATTAAACTAGATAATTTTAAAATCAGAGCCGGTATCACGTACCATTTATTGTAACTTTTGAAGTCTGTGCATTCCCATACATCTTAATGTGTTCTGCATAATTGTTAATGCTAACAATGTTATTGACTTTACTTACAAGTATGGAAATTATTTATGAAAAAACTATTAATAAATAAATTCAATAAAAATATATACACTTTGTGTTGATAGTCATGTAAATGTAAATTCTAGTATTTTGCTGTTAAGACATTTTTGTAATAACAAAATATAGCAAGAATTTTGACATTGCATCAACGTCGTCTTCAGGCAATGCAGAATATATTAAAATACCATTAGAATGTTAGTTTAAAGTAAAAAGGAATGCATGTTTAAAATTTGAACATAAAAGTATGGAATATACTGACTTGGATAAAATGGTAAAAAGTAAGTAATAAGCTCTTAAATTAATAAAAATATTGCATATTTTTATGTAAGGTATTGAATTAAAAGATTAATTCAATGACTTACATCAAAAAATGCAATCTATTTGGGTCTGGGACTTCTAAAGTGGGTTTATTTTACGATCCTAATGTAGAAATGTGTGAAGATTCTCAGATAAAAATAGACTCACGTTCAACATATCATCCAAGTAGTGACATTTAGGCCCATAAAGATATAACATCGTCTAATACACTCCCAGAACGTTCTGTAGTATCTCTGTTGCTTAGGATATCCCTACTTTTCATTAGTCGATTTGAAAGTTTTCTGTTTGTGGCCCCTACATAATAAACTTTTGTGTTTGTATTTGGTCGGTTTAAACGGACTGTATAAGTGCCAAATTTTTCTGGAATGTTAATGTTAATTTTTCAAAAACATTATTATTACATTAGAAAAATTGCAGTTAGGGATTGAAAGAATATTTTATGTTCTTAATGAAACTAACAGACAGAAAAGAATAAATTTGGTCTTAGAGCATAAACGAAGAGCAAAAATGGTGTTTTTGTAAAGCTCTCTTGTTTTTGCTTGTGCTCTGTTATGCAGTCCCGTCATAAGTTTGGGAAACTAATTTCTCTTCACAATTAAAACTGATCTATGTATTGAGTAAATAGTTGTTTTGCATTTTGGTTTTTGCTTAGATCCAAGAAACTGGCAAATGTTTCCTTGATGGTTTCACTTACCTATCAGAATGCTGTGGACATTTGAGTCCTACAAATAGTCTACAATAACAGAAACAAATTTTTGGCTTTTCATGTTTCTTTTAAATTTTTTTGAGCGTAATATTTGGGATTGATTAAAATTGTTCCAAATTCTGTTTGAAAGATCAGTTAAAAAACTGCTGATTTTTCTAAACACATGTTTAGATGGTTATCTGTCATACCCAATAAGTAAACAAACTCTATATAACTAGTAGCCCGGGACGCCCCCTAGTGAGCGCTCTTTACAAATTCTCATGAGGTACGGTTCCTTTGACTTTTTTATTCTTATCAATATGCTCTACAGCTCTGTTAAAGTCCCAATCGTGTCATACGAATCTAAATTTCTACCTATTAAACATTCTATAAATACTTTAAAAATAGTTTAATTTGTTTATTTACCTTTGCTTGTAAACCTCGATTTTAAATGTATCCGCCATTTTTTCAACAAATTTCCCGTGAGTCAATGCACGACATTCACTAACTTGTAAGTCACAGGATGTTGTAAACGTGCGGCGCAAGGTTAATCAAGGCATATAATAATTATTTATACTATTCCGTGGTATAAATAATAAATTCATATTACAAATAAAAATAATTTATTGTTAATTTAAAATCATCGCTAAGGCGCCTCTAGTGCCCGTTTTTGGCATACCGTTACGCTGATGGACATGCATTTAATGGGTTATATAGATAGATTTTCATCTTTCTCGGATTCTGGGGATTTGCCGCATTGTTTGACTGCTATGTCTTTTGACAAAAAAGTATGACCTTGATTAATTTGGAAATAACATCTATTGATACAGTCTTATTATGCTTTTTCACATTAGCTTTAAATTTATTGTTGAGACAAAATGCTATTCGATTTTGCCTTCCAAACCATTTAGCAAAGAATCAATGTGATGCTGTTAATTTTCGTGTTTTTTATTTGGTGTTTTGGATAAATTATTTAAATTGTCAAAACCACTTTTATTCTGGTCACACACTTTTTTGGAAAATAATAAACGAGGCCAACAAAAAGTTTCCAAAATCTTACACAATGCAAAGCTAAGGAATATTAGTATAGAACTTGGTTCTAAAATGTCTAATGAATTTCTTTGTAATATTCTTAATATTTAAATAATAATTAAATTAGGGTGCTGGTTTTTTATTTTTAATAAGATCTCGAACCAAAACTTCTTTTAAACAAATTTCCAGTTATACAATTAAGTTGGGTATTTGTCGTGTTTTCCCGATCTGTTATAATTGAATTAAGTTAATATTTTCTGAAAAGGTAAGTTCCAGAAAAAATGAAATAATAAATTACAAAGTTTGTTTTAAAACACAACAGTACAGTACAAGTAAAATCTGACCTTTGAAATTCCGGCAAGAGATTTATTAGAATAACAATTTACCAATCTTCTTCAGTTACAATAAGATGTATTGGTACAAAACGATATGTTCCCCAAGTCCATAAACAATAAAAAGTATGCAATATGATACCTATATGCAATATAAAAAGTATGCAATATGATACTTAGTAGAGGTAATGTGTTGATCTCTATCAACACATTACCTCTACTAAGTGTAGTAAAAGCGTTAGTGTTTTCTTTTGGTGCATCCTAGACAAATACGTAAAGCATGTGTGCAAATGATTCTGTTTTGTCTACGGTCAATAATATACTTGTTTTAGAGTGGAAACAATGCATTCTGTACACATTTAAGATTTTAATAGAGAAATACTTACTGAGTTTTAAAAAACAATTTTTTGTAATTCATAGATTTCAAGTTAATTATAAAATTCATATTATCTACAAAATAAATAACTAGTTCTACATCATTTAAAACAAAATATCTTGATACATAATGATATTTTAACAAATTTTAAGAGAAGTGCCACATTTCGAGGAATGCTCCCGGTTCTGAGTCATTAGGCATCATATGCTGTAACGGATGTAAAATTGACACAAAGTTTGAGCCAAAAATTTTGGAGATCAAAAGAGCTCTTAATAAATTAATTGATTAAACGAGTATAATCTAATTCTTTGAATTACTGTTTGTGGGAGGTGCAGGTTTGATTTTTGTGTCCCCGTTAAAATAGATTTTTGTGATTATCCGCTTATCCATCGTAGATTACCCATACACTAAAAGTGCTAGAAAATAAATATCAAAAACACAACTACTTTAAAGTTGGCAAAAACTGTTTAAAACATTTTTTAGTCTAAATTTAGGCTACTGTCAACATCAAACTAACTTTATAAATGGAGTAGAATGCTTTTACGTTTGAAAATGTTCGGTCATGCTGCTGTTATAATTTTTACGTTTTTCTTTAATGCTGAGGATTGCCTAAATTTAGGCTAAAAATGCTTGTGTTTAAATATGTGATTTTTGGTAACTGTATTTTTTGATTATTTAAAGTAAGACCAAACTATTCAGGAAACTAAAAATGTTCAGAAATACATTTGTTCATCCTAAGGTCATTTTTGCTTACGGCAAATATGAGCGACTGTCTTATTTTAAATTCCTGCTTGTAGTTTTGTGATTATTATGTCGCTTGCCAAATTTTGTTACAGTTACTCTAGAAAATAATGACTTTCTCTTGAAGTATCGTCATTGGATTTTAAATAATTCAATGCTTTTAATTTATTTGTTTCTAAGATTACAAGTTTTTGCATTGCTTAATCATTTAAATTATGTTTATAGTTTGAAAAAATTATTTTAAAATATTTATATAGGTCAAAAAAGATCCGAACACCGGGCAGTCGAAAGGATTCGGGTTTATCAGATTTGCAAATTACGAAGCGCAAGTAAGAGTTTTAGCAAAAAGACACCTGATCGACGGAAGGTGGTGCGACGTAAAAATTCCTAATTCAAAGGTAATGTCATTCTCAAAGAAATTTCTTTTATTTTGTAAACTTATTTGTTTAGAAGTTCTTGTTATTATGCCGGATTTAAGCACGTGTATTTGCCGGTGCCGGTAACGTTTGGTGCTTGCTAGTAGAAAAACTGTAAATGTGTTCCGACATGTCAGTGGCATCAGTGCATGCAAAGATTTATAAAAAAAAGTTGAAAATTTCCAACTTTCTGGCATGTCAGCGAGGAATCTCATAATGGCATCGGTGAATGTTTGCAAGTGCAACCATCATGCTGGTCTATCCATGCATGTGAAGATTTTGACCCTCAAGTAATGTTGTTGTTATTAATTATTTTTCAGATACATTTTATTGCAACCAATAATTAATTAAACATGGATTCTTTTTGAGGTTAAAGAAATGTAGAGAAAGTCGAAAATGATTGAAAATGAATTTTACGATCTTTTGGGAAAGATCGTAAAATTTTTAGAAGTGTGATGATTATTTTAAATGCATTAAAAAGTCAAAAGAAAATAGGTTAAAATGCAATTATTCATTTAAATGAAACTTTTAGCTAAATATGACATTCATAATTAATTGTTATGTAATTTACTTCTTAATTATTACTTGAATTTTACAGCTTCTATATGTATTTTTTCAAATACATTGGAAATTTCACAGTGATGTTATGAAATAAAAAGAAAATATTTCATTTAATAGTTTTCAATTTATTATAGAATGTTTGATAAATTTGCTACAAATTGGGATCAGTTCCTGAGATTTTGATCATTTTATTAGTTAATTTTTATAGTTCTCAATATGTTGCTTGGCTCTTAACTTATAGTATTAATAGATTATGATACATATCATTTTACAGAGTTCCTTATGTCAATAGGAAGTAGCATAAAATTTTCTCTGGAAAAACTTATCATTTTGATGACATTACTTCCCATTGGAAGTCACAAATACTCTGTCTGTGTGTGTGCATGTTGTTTCGGTACAAAACGTGATCTCGTTTGCAGATTTTAACATGAATATACTTAGAAATTTCCATTAAAGAAGCTAATCTTAATATGATGATAATCTGTGTGTCTAAACTTTGATTATACATAGTATTGAGAAAATATCTATGCAAATTTTTCTGATGGATTAAAATATTAAATTTTAATAAAATTAAAATATTCCAGTTTTAAAATATAAATTTCTTTTGCCAAATCATGATATCATTCCAACGGAAAGAAACTTATCGTATATTTTATAATATCGATAACGTTTTTATTATTGAAGATAAGATTTTCTGTATAAAAATAAAATCATAGTCAAGGACTTTATTAGACTGTGATAGCAGTGATACAGCACCCTACTACCAAATGGATGAGCCAGTGTTGGATTTGTACAGATAGATCGGAGATTTGTTTGACTGCATCAGTGTGGAATCGGCTGTCTTGCATGCTTCCGTGGTCGGGCTGGGAAGGCCATGCACCTATCCTAAATGTTCTTTTGTGATATACTACAAAGAGTTTCTTTACCATTATATCAGCAGTATCATGGTGTACTTAGTACTTAGCTACTTCACAATACCTTTTCATAGATAATTGCCAAAATAAACAAAACAATATTAATATTTGAATTGATAATTGAGTTGTCAAAAAAAGAAAACGCTTTGGTTCTTGTCCTTTTACATGTCAATTATTAATAAAGCCAGGGATGCACAACCTTTTCTGAAGAAGGGCCAAATTAGAATTAAGTTTACTGACTGGGGGCTGGACCTCCAAGTGATTAATGCGATGGCTGAGATTGGATGCTGGNGGTGCTAATGACTTTGTGAAAGGGAAAAAGTTCTACACTTAGAAACTTCGAAAGAAAGAAAGAAGAAACTTCCCTGTACCGTCCGCGGGCCGCATAAACATTGATAGGGGGCCGTATGTGGCCCGCGGGCCGCAGGTTGTGCACCCCTGATAAAGCAATTTACTCATAAAAAAAAATTCATAATAACTAAACTTAACAATTTGTTTTTTGTTACTGTGTAAAAGGATTTTTTCCCCCTTTATTTTCTTACATTTATTAAATAAACACAAATAATTATCTTTTGACTAAAACTTTTTTTTAAAAATATGCATGGTACCAATAAAATATTTATAATTTATTTAATAAATGAATTTTATATTAAGTATTAAATGAACTGAACTATCTTTAAATGTTTACTTTTGTAGCAGGATGGACAGGCTTCCGAACTGAGCAGGAAAGTGTTTGTTGGGCGTTGTACGGAAGACATCACATCCGATGACCTACGTGAGTATTTTACAAAATATGGAGAAGTGACCGATGTTTTCATACCAAAACCATTTCGAGCTTTTGCATTTGTCACATTTTTGGATCCCGAGGTCGCTCAGAATTTGTGTGGCGAAGATCACATCATCAAAGGTACAAGTATCCATGTGAGTAATGCCGTTCCAAAGAGCGAGTCTATTGGCCACCACGGTAATCGTGGCCACGGAAGAATAGACGGTCGGGGCTGTCCTCCGGCCGTCGGCGGTCCCGGGATCGGCGGTTTCGGAGGAGGACCCGGCACGGGGGGACCTTTTGGAAGCGGCCAAATCACACACCACAATGCCATGGGCATGGGTCTCGGGAACAGCGGCGTCTGGAATCAGAGCGGAGTGGGTCACGGAGGAGGTGGCCACCGCAATGCAGACATTCCTAATCTGGCAACACTAAGCAACAGTCTCGGTTTGGGTCCCGCTGTCGGATTGGGAAACCAGAACGCTCAAGGAGCGGGTCAGGGAGTCAACACAACACCGCCCACTTTGGGTATGGGCGCGCTTAATTTGGGTGCCGCCTTACCTTTGAGTTCTGTCGTAGCAGCTGCTTTAGGTCAAGCTGGACTTGGATTGTTTGGTGGAACATTCCAATCTCAGGGAGGTGGAAATCAGGCCGAAGGCCAAGGCTTAGGAAATCCTGCCAATAATCCAAATCCAAATACCTCAGTAGCTACTTCTGCTCCAAATTTGGGAGGAGGCGGGGGAAATGCACCGGGAGCTGGTTTTTTAGGCTGGATGAATCAAAATCAAGGAGGAGGAGAGGGAAGTAACGCAAATCCGGGTGTGGGAGGTCCCTGGCCCCAAAGAGATGGAAAACAAGGATTCGGGATGTCGGTGTCACCCTAGATTTCAAAAAAAAACAAAACGTAAAAGAAAATATTTTTGTTAGGCTTTTAATTAATTCAGACAAAGTAAAGTTATTCAAATAAAACTGAAAATATCAAAATAGTAACATCTTTTCCTCTTAAACATATTACCATAAATATGCAAGAGATTTTATTAACATTTTTTGACTTTTACCGAAAAGTAAATCTTAAATCTTTCAGAAACTATGGTATAAAAATATAATCTAATAGAATTTGTTCTATAGCAAAACAATTACTCTAAAATTATTTAAAAAAAGGGTTGGCAGAACAATTAATTTTAAGATCAGAATGACGGTAAAATTGTATAATGTATCATCAGTCATTCATGTATTATAATTTTGTTCCTGCTGAATTTTGTATTTTATTTTCATTTTCTTCTTAGTTTTGGGGGAAATTAAAAAAAAAAAAAAAAAATTACTAGTACAAAAAATCCTTGTAAATTTATAATGTCTGTCTTACTGATCTATTGTTGTGAAAAATGAATGTATGAGTTTTTTAGTATAGCATGTCTCTGTTAAAGATGTTCTTAATCACTCATTGTATATTTACATCTGTTAAAGAAAAGAAACACTAAGTAGAAAAGTTTGAAATTTTTTTTAAAAATTTTAATTATTGTATAATAATTCTACCTCAATGAAAATAACTATTTGTGTATTTATGACAAAATTTAACCTTACTTTCGTTAAAGTAAAACCAAGATCGTTGCATTCTTTTAAATCAGATTGCCGACGATTGTATTCGAATTAAAATTTAGTAGCAAAATAGTTAAAAATCGTATTTTGCCGAGGAAAGTTTAGTCGACTTCTATATGTTCCAAACTAAACAAAGTTATAAAAACTGCCAAACTTTTTAAATTCAAAAATAACTATTACACTTTGATTTTAAATTGTACAATAAACTACTGTACTTTTATGTAAGAATTAATTGTTTTTGGAACACTGGTTAAATTCTAGAAGTTGTATTTTTACACGAAGGTGTTCAAACTTTGATTCAAAACAGATGTTGTCGAGTTACGTCACATAAACCCTTTTCAGTATTAAGTATAATTTAATTTCCTACCGCGATTTTTTGAATGAAGCGTCTTCGCGGCACCATAGATTTTGCAGGTTGGTTACGCGTCGAAAAATAAAAGCGTCGGATCCATTTGAACGTTTTCTCGTTACTCTTGGTTGATACTTTACGTGGTCGGGTTAAATTTTGATATTAAATTGTTGTTTTCATTGATGTTTACATGGAATCTGAAGATAAAAATATATGACAAATGTTCTGATTATTATGTCAAAAAAAAAGAGAAAAGGTTGTATTTGAGACTTTTAAATGTATGACTGTACTTTAGTGTCGAAAGATAATTCTGTATGTAAAAAACAAAGAAACTTATTTTACGTCGTTCAGCAAGGCTGAAAAATCTTCTGCGACCAACCATTGTCTGGCATTGGAAGCAGTGTGCAGTGATTAGAATGTTTGATATAGTGTGGTGACTGGGGCAGGTGTGATTTCTTTGGATGGATGTATCATAAATTATTAAAAAAAGGAAGTGCCTTCCTAATAAAGAGAGGAAAATAAAAAGAATAATAATAATAATAAAGTTAAATTTTACTATTTTCATTGACTGTAAAAATTTCAGTTCAGAGTACGAATATAGTACGATGACTGCAACTGCTCTTGTAGAAATGATAAATGTTAATATGTTGTGTAGTTATAACGAAAGAAAAATGTCTCATGATGTCTATCACTTTGAAATCTGGTGCTCTGTGTAAATGCTAAGTTTCAGGAAGTGATGCGAAATATATAAATCTATATATATATATATATATCTGAATTTTGATTAGAATAATTTTCTGTGAGATATTTGTATAAAGTTATAGATTTACTGTCATTTAAGAATCTGACAAATACTTTTCTTTCGTACCGTACGATGCGAGGAACGGATTACGTTACGCTGCTATATTTTCTGTTTGTAAATCAAAGTATGCTTATTGTATTTGAGTACATATTACGATGTTATTCCCTGTGTGTGTGATAATTATGTAATAATAAAACAGTTTGATAGTTTTTATTTACACAAAGAAGAATGGTGTGTCTGACGTGAATTGTATGTTCATTGAGGACTGTGTGTACGATAGTTGGTTGTTTCAATAAAATCACTTTATGGAACGATTGCTGTGTGACTGCTTTCCTGTTAGTGTGAGTGCAAACTAGAAAAATTCACTCTTTCTTTCCTTTAAAATTTTGCACTCACTAACATTAATTAATTTTACTTTGGTACAAATAAAAGTTTTTTTATTTTATTAACTCTAAAATGATCGTGTATAGTTAGTTTATATTACGGGTATTAATGAAAAGTATTTTAATATACTGTATATCCGATACTTTTGTGATTAATAACTTTTTATATAATGAAATTTATTAACAAAATTGAAAAGTACTGCATATTTTGGAATAAAAATAATAGTTTTAGTATGGGAAATAAACAGAGCTTTATTAAAAATTTATAATGTATGAATAGATACTTTAACTAACAGATTGATGTCTTATTGCTTAAAAAGTTTAATTAAAAAAAAAAAATCTTTATTATTTTATTTTAATTTGCAATTTCGTAGTTTTGATTCGTCTGTTATGTCGTAAGGTAATAACTGTAGTATTTAATAGCGCTTTCTAAATTGGGCGCCGTGACGACTTAGCTTGACGCAGAATAGTTAGAGATGCGTTCCGACGTAATCGATTTCAAAAATTTTAAAAGGTAAAAAATAAAAGTCTGCATTTGAATGCAAAATTGCAAATCTGTGTTAACGCCCTACAATCGTTTCTCTTTCCAGTGAAATAATAATAATCCCCGTGGGCAGTACTGATACCAAATCCGAATGCAAAAGTAAAAACTATATACTGGCACTCCATTAATTTAAAATGAAATTATATTATTTGGAGACACTGTTTATACATAGAGGAAATTATAAAACGAAGATTGCAAGGAAGAGAAGATAGTGTTACATTAATGAGCTGACTAACAAGAGAGATAAATATTAATGTTTTTGATATTCCTCCATATAGTAGTCGGGGGAAAAAGTAAGTTCTTTTTAAATAATAGTTATCGAATCTCGGCATCTAGTTATATTTATTAATATAAAAGTATACCGTACACTTCAAACTCCAATAATGTGTATATTTAAAATCGACCTAACAAGTTGTGAACATTCTAAGAACTTAAAATAATGCTTTCATGTAGGAAAATTACATACTAATTAAGAATTTTGGTGCACAATTTCAATACTGAAAATAGGAACATTTTGACAAGCTTATTTGAATTCATTATCTTTAAATTCTATTTTATTTTATACATTTTTTGATCCAAATATCAAATGGTAATTAAATCTACTTGATTGAGCATTATCTTCAAACTTTTATGTTTATTAAACTTGATAGGTGATTTCAAATTGAAACCTGTAACTTTTATTTAATTATAGTTTAATTATTTCATTGATTTATTTTTTAAAATTGAAATTATGACTTCACTTTTACTACACGAATAATTTAAATTTTTTTTAAGTGGAATTTATTTTCTGTTGCCGACTAGTTTGTTCATTAGACATTATGAAGCAGACTAACAGCTAAATCTGTGTGATTTTTTGAGAATCTTTAAGGTATAGGTACGGAATTTAAATGTACTGAATTGAAAAGTGTTTTGTTTGAAAATATTTTCAACACTTGTTATATTTTATGTTTAGTTTTGTAAATTCACTCTGCCAAAAATTATTTTTATGCAGTTTTTATTCATAGGTTGTACGTATGATTGGAAAGTAGTACGTAGAGAGTATTTCAATTAAGAAAATACGTTCTGGTCTTTCTGTGTTAGTACACCCGAAATTGTATCTTGAGCTAGCGAACAAATATCCGATGGTCAATTTCATTTATGGATACGCAGATAAAGCCTTTTAAAATTGTGACTTGTCTATACAATTGATATCCGTGACATCTCATTATGTGATTCCCATGGGCAAAGTTTGCCAATGGTATGTTGAAGTGTATAATAAACCATCAAAATTTCAGTGCAGGCAGTTTTCAGGAAGAAAACAATACTTTCAATAAGAGGCGTGGTTAAGTCAAGTATCCCAAAAAACTGTGTAATGCTACACAAACTGATTCCTGGTGATAGAAGTTATTTCTCTGCTTTGTTAGGCTTTATATAAAATATGACATAGATGAAATTGCTCACAATGAGTTGGCCAAGGAAAATTTTATGCTTCCTATAATATGAACACTTTCACGAGATGTTTTCTTTGGAACAGGCAATGTGCATCTTTAAAGGCAAATTGGAATGTGCCATTTCTCTCGGAAACAGAGGTGCTTTACTTGGATTAAAGCAAATGATTTGTTTAGGCAAGAAAAAACCTTAAGATGTCTCTGCTAGTAAAATGATGACCATTGTATTCTGGGCTTTTCGGGGAATGTTACTACTGAACAATACTGTTATGTTTATGGGAAGCCATAATATGCAAAAGCAAGTTAGATGTTTTTGAAGGATGATTTGCTTCTGCATGCCAATGCCAGGCCACATACAGCTTGATTGTTGCAAGAAGGTTACATTCTGTTAGGATGGCAAATTCTCAAACATTTGTTGCTGTGACACTGGTTACATTAGTAGAACCACAAATTTTCTGCCAAAGGCATACATCACCACTATTTTAATCTTAAAAGTAGATTACTATTCTGTCTTTTGTTTTTAGAATAATATTATTCCTTGCCAAAATGTTGCCAAGCAAATTTATGTCCGTAATGTATTGTTATTTTCCAGTCGACCCTTACAAAATTGCATAAAACTAATTTTTAACAGAGTGAAGTCATTCAGTTACAGATTACAATCATTCAATATGCTTATTGCAAATAGTTTTTCAAAATATATATTTAAATTTCTAAATTAAGTATGGAGATAACTTAGTCTTACTATTTAAATTTAGTACAGGGTCATACAGATACAGTTATACTGTTTTAATAAAGTATTTACTCTTTAATTTGGTGCAGTTTCGTTTGACGCAAGAAGAATGCTTATTTCATATTGTTTTTATAAAGTTTACACTTGATAAGCATTAAGATAAAAATGTGAAAACATTTTGCAAATTATTTATTTTGCCATTAGAAAATCAATTAACTGTAAGATAAAAAAATATGTTGTTAGATTAGGTACTAAATTTAAAGATAGAGAACTTTCTGTGCAAGAATAAAATATTTGAATGTACTTCCTTATAAAAGTGCAGGAATTATCTTATTCTTCCTCAATCATATTATACAAATCTAAAAGGTTAGAAGGTAAGATTATTATTATACAAGGGGGGACCCAAAAAAACCGGATTTTTTTGTATAAAAACTTCATTTATTAACTTTTTTACAAAATTTCTTCAGTCACCTTCAAAGTACTCTCCATTAGATGCGATGCACTTGTGAAGTCTTTTTCCCCCACTGTTTGAAGCATCTCTGGAACTCTTCAACCTTGATATTGTCCAGTGCTCTTAGCGAAGCTGTTTTTACAGCCTCCACATCATCAAAATGCTTCCCTTTTAGATTTTTCTTCATTCTCAGAAACAGAAAAAAGTCACACGGGGCTAGGTCTGATGAATACGGAGGATGGGGAATGACAGGCCATCCTCAAGAGGCCAAACAGTGGGTCACTCGTAAGGCTGTGTGTGCGAGGGCGTTGTCGTGATGAAGGAACTAGTCACCCGATCGCCAAAGTTCTGGACGGTTCCTTCGCACATCCTCTCGCAGACATCTTAACATTTTTTTTGGTGGATTTTTTCAACATTTTCATCGTTTTGAGATGTTGAAGGATGCCCAGAACTTCGCAGGTGGAACAAAATAACAGTAAGAGAAACACAACACTATGCTCAAACATAAACCTATAAACTGATGCCATTTGCACAGCTGTTTCGTGAAGGTCCCTACTAACCCCATGTAACGGAAGAACTCTCTACTACATCTACGAATGGCAGTGCGCTCTCAGTTCGGTTTTTTTTTTGGGTCCCCCTCGTATACCTCAATCAATCAACAAAAATAATATTTTCTNAGTAAAGAACTATACCAGAAACAAATACGTGGGGGGACCAAAAATAACCAGACTTTTTGTATAAAAACTTTATTTATTAACTTTTTTACAAAATTTCTTCAGTCACTTTCAAAGTACTCTCCATTAGATGCGATGCACTTCTGAAGTCTTTTTTCCCCCACTGTTTGAAGCATCTCTGGAACTTTTCAACCTTGATATCGTCCAGTGACCTTAGCGAAGCTGTTTTTACAGCCTCCACATCATCAAAACGCTTCCCTTTTAGATTTTTCTTCATTCTCGTAAACAGAAAAAAGTCGCACAGGGCTAGTTCTGGTGAATATGGAGGGTGGGGAACGACAGACCATCCTCAAGAGGCCAGACAGTGGGTCACTCGTAAGGCCATGTGTGCGAGGGCGTTGTCGTGATGAAGGAACTAGTCACCTGATCACCAAAGTTCTGGACGTTTCCTTCGCACATCCTCTCGCAGACATCTTAACACTTTTTTGGTGGATTTTTTTAACCTTTTCATCGTTTCGAGATGTTGAAGGATGCCCAGAACTTCGCAGGTGGAACAAAATAACAGTAAGAGAAACACAACACTATGCTCAAACATAAACCTACAAACTGATGCCATTTGCACAGCTGTTTTGTGAAGGTCCCTACTAACCCCATGTAACGGAAGAACTCTCTACTACGTCTACGAATGGCAGTGCGCTCTCAGTTCGGTTTTTTTTTTGGGTCCCCCTCGTATACCTCAATCAATCAACAAAAATAATATTTTCTTTGTGCTCAAACTTTTTGCATAGAAAACTCCTAGTATGTTCTTAATAGAAATATGCCGAGCTAATAACAATAGTGTAGATAAATGTTGATATATTGAGAAATAACAAATTACTTGGTTTTTTTTTATTATTAAAATTTTGATTTTTTAAATCTCTGATATATATTCATTCTCTTTGGAAGATCAGCTCCTATAACAATCCTCAAATGAAAATGTTTATAACAGTTCCTTCTGGATTACTACAATGCAGTCTTTTATCAGACGAAAATAAATATATGTTAATAAAGTTATTCGTCTAATGGCATTAAAGTTTTGACTATAATGCCCACGTTTACTATA